TTTAAATTTGAGAAAATCTTCTGAAAGTTTAATGACCCTTAACTCTAGCTGTGATGGAGTAGAGTTAGTTTCATCGATGGAAGAATCACATACCTGGTCATCAGAGTCAGAGGCAGATTCTGCATTGGACCTGGCCATGACGCATATGAGTGCCTTGTCTTCTTCATCAGACGAAGAATCAGACACCCAGTTGTCTTTTTTAGCCATCAAGCTTCTCTCTTTAGGATTGTATTTATACTTGTTCTTGTAATAGTCAGCATCCTTTACCAGTCGTCCTTTGCATTCTTTAGAAAAGTGGCCTATCTTCCCACATCTGTAGCAGCGAATACAATCTTTCCTTCCATCTCCTTCTCTTCTGTCCTCTCTGTCTTCTCTTCTTTCATCTTTCTAATGAAACTTCATCGGCTTCTGTTCATATGAAGACTGATACTTCTCCCTTCTGGAGTCTATTCTTTCATAAGGCTTCTTGACAAACTTCTTTTGGAATTGTTTAGTTATCAAGGCCAGAGACTTTGCAAAAGCTTTGAGGTCATCATCAGAGTCAGATGCTTCTTCGGATTCTGACTCCAATACTAGTGCCTTCTTTCTTTTCTTCTTGTATTCCATGGAAGAAGTCCTTGTAACTTTCTTCTCTTCTACAGCAAAGGCAAGGGGTCCACTGATGGACACCTTCCTCTTCAGTATATCCTTTTCTTGAGCAGCAAGAGTTCCATAGACGTCATGAAGCGACCAAATGTCTAACTCCTGATTGGTTTGGAGGGACATCGACAGTTGAGTCCACTCATCGCCAAGACTTTTGAGGACTAGGACGTTGTTTTCTTCTTTGGTCCTGGCAATGTCATTTCTGCGACATTGATTAATCAATGTGTTGAAACGATCATAAGTCTTTTGAACTGGTTCATCAGGCAATGCCTTGAAGTTGGTGTATTCGTTCAAGCACTGCGCCCTACGATTCTTCTTCCCCTTTGCGCCACCTTCCAGTTGACTTTCCAGTTCATCCCATATCTCCTTTGCTGTTGTACAAGCATTGAGACATTGGAAGATATCATTCAGAATGGCCATGATGATCAACCTTTTTGCCTTCCTGTCTTCCTCTACACGTTCTAGGTCGTCTTCATCCCAATTCTTTTCGTCTTTTTCCATGTAGTAGGCAACAACTTCTCCAGTAGTGCTTGTTGTAGGAACTCTTGGAACAAGAGTCTAAGGAACATATGGGCCTTCCATGACAGATTCGAGGAGATTCCTGTCCATCCCGTCCAGGAAGTTTACCATTTGAATCCTCCATTGTGATACCCTTCACGTTGAAGAGTTGGAGGTTTGGTGCGGGAACCCACACTATATGCAAAATTCCAGTTAGCCATGAGAACTCTTAGAAAGAGAAGAGCATGCTCTTTGGAAGAGAAGAACACAAATTTTAAAGAATGAAAATTGAGTGATTTTTGAATATTCAGATTCAAATTGATCGTTTAATTGAAAAATAATCAATTTGCTATGATACCAATTGTTGATCCCAGATGTAACATCCAACTTTTTAAAAGTCCATTTAAGTTGCTAAGCATGATTAATTAAGTTAGTATATTATTTTAGAGATTAGTACTTACTTAAGTTAGATTGGAATATGGACTTCTGGATCAAATTAGAGGCTGGAATTTTATATTTAAGCTTCTTATATATCAATTAGGAGATCTGGAAAGTTTCGTACAAAACGGAGTTGAAACGACCAAGTTACGCGTGAGGGACTAAATCTGTCAACTATGGCAAACTAGGTGGACTGTTGACCAAAACAGGTCAAAACCATGCCTAGCTCTCTAAATCAGTCATATTTTTTCACCTCTAGAACTCTCACACTCAAGGTGCGATATACACACACTTAAGATTAATCTTTCAATCCTTGATGATCAATGTTAGATTCTTGAGGATTATGTGTTAATCATCAAAGG